GACAACATGCATGAAGAGGATGAAGTGGACAAAATACTCATTTGCTTAATAATTCTGCACTCCCTGTATGCAGCTAAAGTCAGCTGGTTTTCTGTTTTTATGTCTGTTTAATTATGTCTTTTTTATATGCCTGTTTAACGTACAAACTAGATGATGCTTTTCTAGTTAAAATTAGAGCTAAATTTTGTATATTTTAAGTTTTGAATGCATTTTTCATCTGCAGATCAGGGGCTGAAAGAACATCTTAACAACACAAGACCCTGACTGCGCAGAAGCCACTATATTTGTTCCTGAAAGAAGAAAAATTTAGATCTTTGTAGTAAATTTAATAACTGACGTACAACAAAACAGAAAATGTTTAATGTGTTCAAACGAGAAGAAGGGCCCAAAAAGCTTTCAGATACTATAAAAAAAAATTGCAAACAAGCAAAAACATATACAGGGCCTCTCCCTGTTTATATAATTCCACTGAAAAAAAATAATTTCAATGTCGATGGATGCAAGAGTTTCACTTTTGGGAAAGAGTCCAGTAAACCTAATCGCACCATAATGGTTCTCGGAGCGACTGGTGCTGGGAAGTCAACTCTCATCAACGGGATGATCAATTACATTTTAGGTGTTAAATGGGAGGATCCATATCGATTTAAGTTAGTTGATGAGGGTGAGTTAACTTCACAATCTGAGAGTCAGACCTCTGAAGTCACTGTGTACAAAGTCAACCACCAGCAGGGATTTGAAATTGAGTTCTCTCTGACCATTGTGGACACTCCAGGCTTTGGAGATACAAGAGGCATAGAAAAAGACAGAGAGATCGTAGAGCAGCTACGTAATCTCTTCTCTGCTCAGGGTGGTGTCAGTGAAATCGATGCTGTGTGTTTTGTAGCTCAGGCTGCTTTAGCACGACTCACACCAACACAGAAATATGTGTTTGATTCAGTGCTCTCAATCTTTGGCAAAGATGTAGCAGAAAACATCAGGATCCTGGTGACATTTGCAGACGGTCAGCGACCTCCAGTTCTCGAGGCGATCAATGCTGCAGGAGTCCCATGTCCTAAAACAAAAGACGGGCTGCCGGTTCACTTCAAATTCAATAACTCAGCGCTGTTTGCAAATAACAAATCAGCTGTAGCAGAAAGCACGAGTGATGACGATGAAGAAGAAGGTGGCTTTGATAAGATGTTTTGGGAGATGGGCACAAAAAGCATGAAGAGGTTTTTTGTTGCTCTGAATAAAATAGAAACTAAAAGCTTGACACTGACACAGGAAGTCCTCAGAGAAAGAAAGCAGCTCGAGAATTCAGTTGAGAATCTGCAGGAGCAGGTGAAACTTGGGTTAGCCAAGCTTGAGGAGATAAAAGAGACGAGTGAAAAACTTAAAGAACATGAAGCAGAGATCAGCAGAAATAAGAACTTTGAATTTGAAGTTACTGTCAAAAAGCCTTATCATGATGACATTTCTAGGACTGGAAACTACATCACCAACTGTCAGCAGTGTCATTATACCTGTCACTACCCTTGTGGCATACCAAATGATGCAGATAAACGTGGCTGTGTAGCAATGGGGCAAAATGGAAACTGTAAAGAGTGCCCAGGAAAATGTGTTTGGAATGTACACTTTAACCAGAAGTACAAATGGGGCTATAAAGATGTTAAAGAAAAAAGAACAATAAAGGAGCTGGAAGAAAAGTATCAGGAAGCCACAGGAGAGAAGATGACTGTTCAGAAAGTGATTGATAAACTGAATGCTGAGTATGAAAGTTTGCAGGCTGACGTAGTGAAACTGATGGAGAGATCTTCCAAGTGTCTGAACAGACTCAAAGAGATAGCACTGAAGCCCAACCCTCTGTCCACTCCAGAGTACATCGACATGCTTATTGAAGGAGAGAAATCTGAGGGCAAACCAGGCTGGAAGCAACGAGTTCAGTCTCTGATGTTCATGAAGGAAAAAGCAGAGACAATGGCTAAAATAGAGCAAGGCAAGAAACTCCTGCGTCATCAAGAATCACTTGATGTCAATCCTTAGCCAAATCCATGAAACAGCACATAGTCACAGGCAGTCAGATAATGATAGAGGGTAAAATCAGAGCCAGCTGCAGCAACCTCTGAATGATTTTAAAGTTTCACCACTTTTTGTATTTATGATTCTGAAAGTTTAGAAAGAATATGTACTTGACCTACTACAAGCAACTTCAAAGTTAAATAAAACATAATAAAATTCATTGTTTTTTTAATTTCCTGATCAACTGTATTTTCTTTTTATTTATCTAAGGTTGAATCATTTAATTTGTATAGTATTTTTTCTCTCTCTTATTTTCTTTTCTAAATGTACTTGCATATTGTTCACATATTGAAATAAATTACCAATCAAAAAAAATTTAATCAAAAATAATTAATCATGTCCTTTCTAACCTTAACTCTTCAATGAATTTTCTGATTCTAAGATAAATAAAGTGGTTAGTATGCTTTGGCTTATGAGTACTACTTCTGAAATTTAAGTGAATGCATATATTTGAGCCTGTATAAAATCCAAAATAAATTAATTGTGATTCAATTTCTTTTTCTTCCTTTTAAAAAATATGTATACTATATCATTCCACCTTGGAAAAACAACATTTCAAAGACAATTAAAAGCAAACTATTGGCAAACATTCATGGCCCTGATGAGTGAAAGTAAACTTCTGAGCCATAGTGTTCAAACAGTTTGAGCCTCTTCAAGCTTTCTTAGTACAGAGTGTTAGAGTTGATTCTTTAAAGATTGTCATTTGTGCTAAGATATATATAACCATTGCTTGTATGTGTTTTGATAAAATGTTTCTTCCATATTAGGTTGCGTACTTAAGATGTAGGAAGCTGTCTCGTTGCTATAGGTTTTATAAGTTTAGCAGGACTGCTCACTTCTGCTTTTGTACATGTTGGTTCGTTGAAAGGTCATAAATGGAGTGACTGAAGATGTCGTTAAAAGGTCGAGCCATATATGGTGTCACAGGAAATAACACACACACACAAATACTGACTTGCTGAGATATTTGTGTAACTGCTTATTGTCAATAAAAGAGATGACAAGGGAGGTCAGGTTCGGAGTTGGCTGAGAACCTAGTTAGTGCTCCTGGGACACAAGATTTTCAGAAGCTAGAAAATTTGTTTTCTAGCACAGGCAACTGTGGTTAGCACACCAAAAGGTCCAGAGTTCGACTCCATCACCTGGCCGGGCCTTTCTGCATGGAGTTGGCATGTTCTCCGCGTGTTAGGCGTTACTAATCACTTTGTTTGATTTCTGACTTCTAATGTATTCAGTAACTGATTAAAACAGCAGAAAAAAAACCAAGCCATTTAAGTTAGCAGGAATCACGTGTTCTGATTCTTTTTTTGTAGTTAAACTCTTGCTGCTGTTGCTGCTGCTGACTGTATTCACACCGGCATGTGGCTTTAGCTTGTTTCCTGCTGTCTTCTTATAGACATCTCTATTACAGCCTACTGCAGTAACATACTGACTGTGGATTGAAGCCTCATATTTCTGCACTTTCAAAAACTGAAAAGATGCGATCAGTGTTTTACTTGTGCTTTGTTTTTTTAGTGTTTTTTTTTCGTATTCTCCCCATTCCCCCTTTTTTTGGTCTTTCATTCCCCCATTTCTTTTCCTCCTTAATCTTCTCTTTATTACTTCTCCTCCACCTGAGAGGAATGAGATGGGACGCTGCCCTTGCGGCGACCAGCAGTTTGTCTCTGTCAGTCAGTGTTTTAACTTGTTTTATTTCATTTTTAAGTTATGCTTTTTATTTTTTGAGCCTAAGGAAATCCTAAAGCTTTGGCTTGTGCTTTGTGGAACTCTCTTTTTAATGAAGATTTTTTAATTTCGCATGGTTTTATTTTCAATCCTGACGGTTGTTTGGAGTCATTGCTACTCACAGACAATTACATACTGTAACAGCAGTATGGCGAGCAAGGAGCGGCTAGCAGGTCCAGTGGGCATGTGGTGTGGAGGTTAGCCGGAAAACTCAAAGCCAGTCAGTTAAATTAAACAACAGACCTTTATTCATTGTTAGCAACATAAGACCATACAAGCCAGGTCTCCACGGCTCTACTCTGTCCGTACATACACGTGCGGGGATCGGTAGTCGCCGACGCCAGCCCGTTACAATGGTAAGGTTTCTCCTGAGAACAGAACATGAGCAGCGTGTAATGGCTGCAGCTCTCCTGCTGCCAGCCGTACACATGAACACCAAAAACAACAACAGCACAAGCAGCGCACAGGTTTTAAGCCGGCGAGGCATGATTGTAGATGCCGTGAAGGTGAGTCGATCTCTCCTGCAGCGGCATCGCAGACCACAACCCGCCATAATAATAAAGCATTTTTTTATTTAATTATAAATAAATTATTTCTCCTAATTATGTCCTGGGTTTTAACTATTTAATAATAAAAAATAAAACATCACAAAAAACACTTAAGGTCATTAAAATTAATTGCGATTTAGCAATTCAATGACGCATCCACCTTATTTATTGAAAAGTATCGGTATCGGTGATACTGGCCCATATTTACTTGGTATCGGATCGATACCAAAATATGCATTATTGCACACCACTAATACTCATACACCCACTAGGAGACTCCCACAACTACTACAATAAGATAAGATAAGATAGGATAAGATAAGATGACCTTTATTAGTCCCACAGGTGGGAAATTTGTTTCGTTACAGCAAAAGTGCAAAGTTATGCAGCAGAAATTAGAAGACACTGGAATGGAATAAAATAGAATAATATATACAATAGAATAAAATAGAATACAAATGCTATATACAACTGAGTAAGAAAATACAAAAGTACAACTTTGTCAGAAAAAGAATTGCACATATAGCAGTCTTATTGCACATGTGTGTGTTTGATCAGTTGAAGTCTTTGTTGTGGAGTCTGACAGCCGTGGGGAGGAAAGACCTGCGGAATCTCTCCGTCCCACACCGTGGGTGCCGCAGTCCCTGAAGGAGCTGCTCAGTGCTGTCAGAGTCTCCTGCATGGGGTGGGAGATGTTGTCCAACAGGGATGACAGCTTAGCCGCCATTCTCCTGTCACTCACCACCTCCACTGGGTCCAGAGGGCATCCTAGAACAGAGCTGGCCCTTCTGATCAGCCTGTTCAGTCTCTTCCTGTCCCCAGCAGAGATGTTGCCGCCCCAGCAGACCACACCATAAAAGATAGCAGAAGCCACAACAGAGTCATAGAAGGTCTTCAGGAGTGGGCCCTCCACTCCAAAAGACCTGAGTCTCCGCAGCAGGTACAGCCTGCTCTGCCCTTTCCTGTAGAGGGCGTCTGAATTCCAGTCCAGTCCAGTTTGTTGTTCAGATGAACACCAAGGTACCTGTAGCTGTCCACAACCTCAATGTCCATACCTCGAATGTCCAGTGAATGTCCCTGATTCTTCTCTGGAACTAAATGGCTTCGGGTTTCCCATACGTTTGGATCAAGACCCCGGAGCTACCCAGAAATCTCACGGAGGAGGAGTGTGCTTGTATATTAATCAGAATTGGTGTAAAAACGTTACCGTCTGTAAAAAGGTGTGTCTGCCTGACATTGAGCTCCTCTCTGTGTCTTTGAGGCCGTTTTATCTGCCGAGGGAATTCCCACAGATTAACGTCACCGTCATGTACATCCATCCTAAAGCGATTCCAAAGAATGCGACTGACACCATCTCCAACGTCATCCACTCACTACAATCCTTCTCTCCTGAGGCTCCTAATATTGTTCTGGGAGACTTTAATCGCTGTGACTTGAAGGAAACATTGGGCAGTTTTTATCAGTATGTGAACTGTCCCACGTGCTTCAATAAGACTCTGGATCTATGTTATGGTTCCATAAAAGGTGCGTATACATCTGTGGCAGGCCCCGCCCTCGGATCCTCGGACCACAACACGGTGTATCTTCTGCCAGTTTATAAAACTGTGCTGAGGAGAGAGAAGGTGAGGAAACACCGCATCAAGGTTTGGAGTGACGACGCCTCTTTAGCCCTGCAGGGCTGCTTTGACTGTACATACTGGTCGGTGTTTACAGAATCATGCAGAGACATTAATGAACTGATGGACGTGAACTGTCTGCAGCTATATCTCCTTTTGCAGAGATATGATTATTCCCTTAAAAGTTGTGCATTTTTCCCCTAATAAAAAAACATGGTCTTCAAAAGCTCTTATGAGGCTGATTCATTAAAGGAAAAAAGCTTTTATTGAAGGGAATATCTTGAAAGTTAGAGAAATTAGGAAGTAAATCAGATCAGAAATTAAAAAAGCCAAAATAAAATACAAGGATGAGGTAGAGGCAAAGATGGGTAGAAATAACATTTAATGATTTTAGGCCTGTCACTTTAACATGTTTAGTGATGAAGCCCTTTGAAAAACTTATCAGGAAGGAGATCCTGCAGCAAGTAGAAAAGCTAATCGACCCACTACAATTTGAATACAGGCTTTGTTGAGGTGTTGATGATGCAGTGGTCACTCTGTTGAATTTCCTGTATTGCCATCTTGATGGCGCCAAAGCTCATGCTCGGCTCTTATTTATTGATTTATCTTCAGCTTTTAATACTATCCAGCCACATCCTTTAGCTGATAAACTTCTTCCTCTCGTTGGTTGGAATTTAGACTTTTTAACTGACAGATCTCTGTGTGTGTGAGAGTAAACGGCTGTTTTTCCAAACAGCTGAACTCTTCTACTGGCTCACCACAAGGTTGTTGTCTCTCTCTTCTACTGTATATTTTTTTACACTAATGACTGTCGCAGTACACAGGCCAACAGGCATTTAATTAAATATACAGATGACACAGTCATTGTAAGCCTCCTTCATGGTGAAGAGGATTCCCATGGGCCTGTTGTGGATAGAGTTTGTTTCATGGTGTGATCAGTCTTTCTTAATGATCAACACCTTGAAAACCAAGGACATGGTTATTGACAGAGACAGAAGGAGCAACTGGGGTCAAAAGCCACCTCAGAATGGACAAAACACAGAAGAAGATGCAGGTTTCACCTGCAGCGAGCATGGACACTGGAGAAAGGACTGCCCCAATTGGGGCCAGAACCAGGATGGACAGAAATTTGAGCAGCAGTAGCAATGGTTGCAAACAGATTGAAGGAGGAGAGCAGGACCCCAGGGCACGCTTCAGGCTGTGGTTTACCCAAGACACCAGAACAGGAAAGTGATGAACACACACACACATCTACACACATCTACACACACACTGACTCAGCATGATGTAATATACACATTTTCTTTGATTGAGATTTAATTCCTGGAGGAACAAAATTCCAAAACAATATTGTTCCCTGAGGAAGAGTGAAAATTTTCCTGTGAGTTTTCTGTTGATTTTTCTTCGCACTAGGTTTATTTTATCAGTGAGGTTTGGGTTGTTTTCTTTCTCTAAGAGAGAGAGAGACGGTTTTATGTTTGGACATATTCTGGAACTGGCCCTAGTAGTTCTTATTTTATTATTTTATTGTTTACTTTTGTTTTGCTTTTGTTACAGTGCACTGAGATAAGAAATCTGAGAGGTGTGATCCACTGGTGGTGATATTTTCATGAGTTCATGATTTAAGAATCAGCTCTCGTTTATCCAGGCCTGGAGGATTGAAATTTAATGTGCTATGAACTATTCTTACTGGAAACAGTCACAAAGTGGGCTTCTCCACGATTGTAATGGTCTTTGGAGAAATTCACTTATATGATGGGACACTGACCACATGAGATGGTAAGTCCTGAGTCTAAAAAGATTGCAGCGAGTCAATCCAGTCCAAAATCATAAAGAATTGTTTTCCTTTTAAAAATCTGATGTGATCTTGCTGTTGAGGGAGACTGGACTAGGTTGCACGTGGGACTCCATTATCAGCAATATCTGGTATGGATGTGTGTGAATGAATGCGTGTGACTGGACTGTGATGCACTGACCACGTAGACTAAAGTTTTGACTGACTTGATACTGAGACGAAGACTGCACCAACTTTAGGATTAGTAAATGTTGACAAACAGCTGGTAAGAAAAGGGTGGATGCTTCGCTTTGTTCTGTTTTTTTGCAGGAGCAGGAGGACGAGAGAGACTGGAGGGGCAGACTGTAGCCTCACACGAGAGTGTGGAACTGCAGACTTAACCCTTTGGCTGCTAATTTTGAGTTGCTGATTTTTGCATGAAGAAAACTGTGTTTTATTGGCTGTGTTTTGATTAGAGTATCACATTGCATGGTTTATGAAATGCAAAGGAGGGGAGTGCCACTCTCAGTGTGGAGGTTTCTAAAAAAGACAAAAGTGTAAATGTCGTAGTTTTTCAGAAAAAGGAGGGAGATTGGACAACATGGAAAATGGACAAGAAAATCAGCGGAAAATCAAAATCAGCATACTTATACAGCCGCATATCACCTATGGCACTTAAGTAATCAACATGGCTGAAGGAAACATCAACAACATGACTGCAAAAGAAGCTGTTATGGACATCAGATTGACATCAGATCTATAAACTGAGCCACTGGTACAGCCAGATCTTGAGAAAGCTTGCTATGGTTAACTAGAGCTTTGAAAGAAACATCACACAATCTGCCTTAGCTCAGGTGGCAGAAATTTTGTCTCTCACCAAAGGCAATACAACTTTCAGGAAGAGGAAGGAGTAAAACATCTATACAGACTCAGCAGACCTGACAAATGAATGCGCTAACAGAGGAGTCATTACCATCATTTGACAGAAGATGACATTAAAACAAAGAGGCAGGAGCCTACAAGATCAGTGAGCGGATGGAGAAACAAACAACACAGAATAGTGGACGTACATGGTGAGAGATCAAGTTGCCCAAACAAAACTAGGTCAACTATTGTTAAAACCACCACATGGTCCTTCACATGAGAGCAGAAACAGACTCGGAAGAACATGGAAGGCCTGTAAGTGACACCCACACATGGAAGAGATGGTGGAAAACTGTGTGAGGGAACACAACACCTGTAATGAATACGACCCAAAGCAGCTGTACCAGTGTTTAAACAGGGAGGTTTACAACACTGGAGGCTCCTTTGGGGACATGAAAATGGATTCTACAGACACGAGGAGCTGACAAAAAGACACCAAAGAACATGGAAATCTTCTTGTGATGGTGGACAGATTCACCAACTACGAAGAAGCAACACCCTGGAAAGAAAAGACGCAAACCCAGTCATAAAATGGCTGTGAAATGAACTGATACCAAGACATGAAGTACCGAGAACCGTTAAAAATCAGACAAGAGATTCCACTGTAACAACGAACATCTGAAAGAAGTGGAGAACAAGTTCTGACAGGATTAATCACTGGAACATCTTACCAGTCAGCATCGCAGGCCATTGTAAAAGGCCAATTAAATATTTTACAGGAAAATCGCCAAAACCAAAACAATAACAAAGGGTATGGTATGATTTGTCACGTCCAAATTAGAGCCGTGTAATGATAAACCCTGGTCCTATAGCACCCACTTGGCCACACCACCAGTTTTTCGTGACCAAAGGAGAGTAATTACAAATGTTCGAGGGAGGAATATCACCGAAAAGTGGGAAAGGTAAGCCCTGATGGGTGTGATAACACCATAAATGTCACTTATGGTCAAATTCTTAAACTGTGACACCAAGCATAAAATTTAGAGACAGAGAGAGAGTTCTAGATAAACATAATTTAGCTAACCCCGTAGGGATTGAGGGTGAGAATCTATACTATTTTGAAATAACACTAAATATAATGTTGATTATGTTTATTCCGATGTGCAGAGATTGGCTAATGTGACCAGGGAATGTAATACACAGGACTGTCAGAACAGTCGGCGTTAAAGTCACCTTTCACAGTCCAGACTAGGATGGCGTTGGACATCCTCAGGATTGAAAAGGGTTGGTGTGATCAAGGTGTGGTTTGGCTAGTTGTATGTATATTTCAAAATCATACAGCTCTGGAGGGGCCAGTTACCAGGGCATGGAAGGATGACAGACATTATCAAATGAGGAGAAGGAATTTTCTGGGATTGAAGATCCTCTGGATGAGTGGTTGACTGATGCATGCAGAAAATAAAAGCTATTATTTTATCATTGACTGGTAACTGAGAATTGGCCATATTCACAGCTGTACTGACTTGTTGTGTCTGTTTCATGTTAAATTAATCTACGTGTATTTGTTGATGAGTAGTGATGGGTCGGTCGTGAACGAAATGGCTCTTAGAGCCGGATCTTTGACGTGAACGACGCGAGCCGGCTCCTTATTGCCAGCCGTGGGGTTTTTTTTCTTTCTCTCACCCTCTCTCTCTCTCTCTCGCACGTTTTTTCCGCTTCACGCTGGGAAGAGGGGGGAGTATGGGCTCAAAATGTGGTCATAAATATTTTGTACGTGTAAATCAGGCTTTGTATGTGTAAAAAGAATTTGTGTGTGTGCAACAAAGATTTGTGTGTGTGCAAAAAAGATTTGTGTGTGGACTTAGCCAAAAAAAACCCTGCAACCCTATTTTTCTTCCTTTAATCTGATTGGTCAATGTCATGTCAATCACAAATGTAACAATCCAATCAGAGAACAGATGCGTTTGGCTGTCGAAGGGGCGCTTTTTTGAACTGTAGTGTAGAAATGTAATATACAGATATAAAAGATTAGAAATTAAAAACAACTTGAGACAAAATACAGCAGCACATATCCAAAAGGATAATTTATTATCACATCTTAATCATAACATTTGAGCTCACCCATTTTAATAATCAAATTTAAATGGGATTTTAATTCAGCATTTGTAGAAATATTTCTGATTCACATTGAATATATAAATCACAAAAAATCTGTTATAATTTAAAAAGTGACAACATATTTCACGAGTAAATTCTGCTTCAATCCAAACTACCGAATAATGTAAAACTAAGAACAAATCATCCTAATGACAAGAAACTGCCAAATCCTTAATTCAAATTTATTTATCTTTTCGTGTATGTGATTCTAAAGATTCAGTGTGTTAAGTACTATAAGTTTTATTACTACAAGGAGCAGGAAATGTTACTTAGGTTCAGCCTTTAAGGATCTGTCTAGAACCAATGCTACACCTGTCAGAGACTACTAAATCTTTTAGATATGACATGCATTCACATTAGTTTGGCTTTTGATCTATTAAGTGGCTGTGGAAAAATTACAATGAAAGTCTTTTCACACCCTGAAAATGGAATTTTAAGTCCTGACATCATGATGACTTTAGTTTGACTTAGACAAAAGCTTCAATTGTAACATATTTATTTAATCCAGGAGTTTTCTTTTAAATCATTTAATGTCCTCTTAATGCTGCTGACATATCTGTAGACCTTCGTAATATTAACCTGAATATCCAAATAAATTTAGAACTTTCTTAAAGAAGCCTTTCTTTTCCTTCTTCTCCTTTCTTTCCTCGGATAATTCCTCCTCCGTTTTTGAAAGTTTGTCTCGTTGCGTTACCTTGGAGATAAGATTTGCCCTCTCCTTCATTGCCTCCAAAGATTTGATTCGAGCCTGGTAACCCTCTTTGGCCTCTGATCTCTCTCCCTCAATCATCATGTCAATGTACTCTGGGGTGGTCAGAGGGTTTGGCCTCAGGCTGATCTCTTGCAGTCGAGTTATACACTGAGCTGACTGATCTATGAGGGACACCATCATGTCCTGAAGGTGAACAATCTCCTCTTCCTGCCTCTCAATCAGTTCCTGAACAGTCATCTTTTCTTTATTAGCTGTTTCATACTTGCGTTTCAGCTCTTGCACTGTCTGCTTCTCTTTCACTTGAACATACTCCCAGCTGTATGTCTGATTGAAATGCACACTCCAAATGCATTTTCCAGGACAGACAGTGCACATCCCGTTCTTATCCATGGATGCACAGCCACGTTTCTCACTATCTTGTGCTATTGCACATGGGTAGTGACATGTTATTGAACATTTCTGGCAGTTGGTGATGAATGCTCCTTTCTCTGTGATTGGTTTTTGGACTGGTTTAATAACATCCACCTCAATCTCAAAGTTTTCATTTGAAGTTATGACTGCTTCATACTCTTTGATCTTTTCTTTGGTTGTCTTAATTTCTTCAAGCTTTGCTAGTCCAGTTCTAACTTGTGGCTGCAAACCTTCAATGGCTGTTTCAAGATGTTTGCGCTCCTTTAAGACTTCTTTGGTCATCAGCAAGCTTTTGGTTTCCATTTTACCCAAAGCAGTGAAGAACTTCTCCATACTCTTGGCTCCCATCTTCCAAAACATTTCATCAAAGCTGGCATCATCTTCATCAAAATCCACTTCACAGTCTCTGTTGCATCTGTTGTCTGCAAATAATGCTGAGTTATTGAACTTGAAGTGAACCGGAAGCCCTAACTCATTTTTTGGACACGGGACTGCAGAAACACTTATTGCCTCAAGAACTGGTGGTTCTTTGCCATCAGCAAAAGTCACCAGCATTTCAATGTTCTCTGCCACATCTTTGCCAAAAATGGAGAGCACCGAGTCAAACACATATCTCTGTGTTGCTGTTAGTCGTGCAAGAGAGGCCTGAGTAACAAAACACACTGCATCAATCTCACTGACTCCATTAGGAGAGGTGAAAAGCCTGCGGATTTGCTCTGTGATCTCCTTGTCTCTTGCTACTCCTCTTGTATCTCCAAAACCTGGAGTGTCCACAATGGTCACGGAGAACGGGATTTTAAAGCCTTCCTGGTGGTGGATTTCATACACAGTGACTTCAGATGTCTGACTGTGAGCTTGTGAACTGGTTGGATCCTCATCAACTAACTTAAATCTGAAACTGTCGTTCCACTCTACACCAACAATGTAGTTGATCATTCCATTGATGAGAGTAGACTTTCCTGATCCTGTTGCTCCAAGAAGCATTATTGTACGATTCTGCCTCATGCTTTCTTTGCCAAAGATATACCTCCGACATCCATCTATGTCCATATCTTCTTCTTCCAGGGGCAGTTTGTAAACTGAGGGCAGCTTTGAGTTTGTTTTCTTGCTGATATGTTTTAGGTACTCAGCCAGACGTGCAAATTCACGCTTTGTTGTGCAGACATTAACAATGATGCTTTCCTTGCTTCTTCCATCTACACCACAATCACATCTGACCCTGACTGCATATTGTGTCTCTGACTGAAGCCCTGAAATGATGGCCTTCTCACCTCCTGAAATTGCTTCAGTCCACTCGAGGTCATTTATTGTCGAGCTGCTATCTGTTTTTGCATATTCCACTATGTAACTCAATATCTGCACATCCTCTCCAAGCTCAACAGGCTTCTCCCAGCTAACTGATATCTCACTTGAATATGGCTGAGCTTGAGGTTTTCCAGGAGGGCTGCAGGGTAAAGTTTTAATGGCATCACTGATTACATTAGCTGGTCCGACACCTGCTGAGGTCACTGCTCTGCATCTGAACACATACTCTGTGTTTGGCTTCAGATCTCTCACTGTGACTTCTTCAGCCTTTGCTTCTGTCTTCTGCTGCCATCCATCCTCTCCACTGACACAGTACTCAACAGAGTAGGAGGTGATGTTCTCTGCTCCAAATCTGGGTGGAGAAATCTTCAGTGTCACATTGTTGTGGTTTATGTCAGCTACAGTCACAGTTTCAGGCTTTGAAGGAGGCTCAAAGTTCTCACTGACAGCAAATCCACCTTCATAAAGGTAGATGCTGGAACCTTCCTGGGTCTCATTAGTTAACCCCACTGTCAGGAACTTAATCTTCTTGTTCTCCTTGTTGGCCTCTGCAAAATCACTGAAGAGTTTTGCTTCCTTCCTCATATCATCTGCTACTTCTTTTGAAAGGTACCATTGTTCCTTCTCTACATTGTAAGTATGATAAACGTGAACGTCTGTTTTGGTTGTTTCTTTCAGGTAGTCTGATAAAGCTGAGAGGTACGGTTCATCCTTCCCCAGTGAGGTGAAAACAAAACACAGGCCATGCTCTGCACTGAGAAGTTCCTCATGTAGATTATTCTGAGATGGGACAGTCTTGGTGTTTTTCATCATGTTGGTGAAAGACTTTAAGATACTGATTTCTCTCTCTTTACAGTCCATCCACTCAGTCAGGTTTTTGCTGTTGAAAGGTGAAGAATGTCTCTTCTTCAGGATCTCAGCAAGTTCAGCCTCCTCTTCTCCTCCTCCTCTGATTGATGGTAGTCTCTTCGCTAACATTCGCTGAAATCCCAGCTTGAACTCTGAACACATTTCTTTAAAACTTTTCAGTTTTTTGCTAATCTGTGGGAACTGTTGGACAGTGGAAGTTCTCAGTGCATCGTTACACCTCGTTTCCAGTTCAATGAAGTCCTCCAGGACGCTCTGTGATTCCTGAACTAATCTTATACTTATCTGACGGACGAGTTTCGCAGCACAAGAATCTAAACTGGTCAAAGGTAACAGCCAGACCTTCATTGGTACGGCCTTTTCGCCATTGGTTCCTAGTAGTGTTGGAAGGCTTTTGTAGACTTCTACAGCTTCCTGAAATGTTGTTGGAGGTTTCTGAAGGCAAAAGTCTCCATAGAATCTGCAGGAGAATTTCTCAACACTTTTTTTGTCCTTATCTTCCATTTTCAGGGACCCTTCACCCTCTATGGAAAGCAAGGGGATCTTCTTGATCATCACCTTCAAGCTGCCCTGGATGTCTTGATGAGTTTCCTCTTTAGAAACCTCACGGTCAAACACAAAGAAAGCTTGAGCCCCATAAAGGATACCTGTGACTACATGTGTTGCTATTCCTTGCTCAAACACATAGGGATGTTTTACGTTGCCTCTTCCAAGGTGATTCATTGACAGTTCCTGGAACCTTGTTGTAGTTTTGTAGTTCAGTGTCACTCTGGCCTGGTATTTGGATGTCTTGTGATCATTGAGATATTTGGCTGATCCTCCAACCTCAACCAGTCCACCCAAGAAACTTGCCTTCAGGGATGCCTCAGCATTTAATGCTGAAGATTTGTCCTCAATTGATTCAGATGCAACTATTTCAGATTCAGTGTTAGGTTGTTCTTGTTCTCGTCTATCTTTTTCCAGGTCATTACAGTCCCACAGTGTCATTCCTGTTAAAAAATACAAGTTAAAATATTTTTTTTATTTTGGATAGAAACACACTGTGGGGATAGGTTAATTGATTAATCCAAATTGCCCATAGGTGTGAATGCGGGAGTGAATGTGAGCGTGAATGGTTGTCTGTCTCTGTGTGTTGGCCCTGCGACAGCCTGGCGACCTGTCCAGGGTGTACCCCGCCTCTCGCCCTGTGACAGCTGGGATAGGCTCCAGCGCCCCCCGCGACCCTGAAGAGGATAAGCGGAAGCGAATGGATGGATGGAAACAATGAAAAATGACAAGAACATTGATGCTTTTGTGTTTTTCATTGTGGAGCTTCAGAATACTGGATATTTTCTTTGTAGCTTTAACCAGATGGGTTGCCTCTTTATTTTTAGCAATAAGAAAGTTGTTTTCAAGCTCAGCAAAACAAATTACATGTTTGAGAACATGAAAAATTATCTTTTCAAAAGTCTACCTTTAAAAGCAACAAAACTTCACTAAATAGCACCTCTTGCCACTGGAATGCAGATGGTGGCTTAAAATGAGCATCTGTGCACTAAAGTTAATATATTTAACTAAAATTGAACAAAGACAAGTCGTGAAGATAAACTTCAGTGAGCTAAAAAAAAGGCATTTAAAAAGAAAACTGAACTTGTAAAGCTAGCTAAAATAATAACAGTACAGGAAATATCCTTAGTTTTAAGTATTTGTTAAAGTGTATAATCTTTACTTTTGTAAGTTGTGTAACACATGCTTATGACACTGTGGGTGTCTCCAAGCCTGGTAAACACAGCATATTGTTCACAAACAGCTGGCATTAGTCTAATTTTTTTCGACATTGAACAATTTTCACATCCCTCCCTCTATACATCCATTTTCCAGTTCTACTTATCAGTTCAGTGTTATATGTCTTATCTGTCATAGTACACTGTGCTGGAGGACCAGCACATAGGGACAGACAACCATTCATGCTCACATTTACATATGGGGCCAAATTAGAATCACCAGTTAACCTGACATGCATGCCTCCACTCAAAAAGGGCCCGGCCTGATTCAAACCAAGTACCCTGAGGCTACAGTGCTAACCACTGAACCACAGTGGTGCACTCATCAGTTTTCACATTTACTGTATTTTGTAACATTCTTGTTTTATTTTTATTAAAACAAATGTGTTTATGTCAAGAACAATATTTATTTCTATTCAGAATTGATGATGGGATGTCGATTGTGGATTGTAGTTCACGTACTGTGGTAAGTTTGGAAACCACTGATAATTTTCATGATTTTTCTTCATAAATCCTTGGTTGTTTGGATCAGCAATTCCATGTAAATATATCATATAGCAGATGAACACAATGATATTTGAGAAGTGAAATGAAGTTTATAGGATTTACAGAAAGTGTGCAATAGTTACTTAAACTATAAGCAAAACTTAAAATATTAGGAAGATGCATAAATTTGGGCACCCTTGTCATTTATTGATTTGTTTACCTTTAGCACTAATTATTGGTAAACAAAATTTGTTTGGTAAGCTCATTGACCCTTGACCTACATACACAGGTGAATCCAATCATTAGAAACGGTGTTTAAAGTGGCCAATTTCAAGTTTTTCTCCTTTGCATCTTTGAAGAGTGGCAGCATGGGAGCCTCAAAAAAACAGCTCTCAAATGACCTGAAAACAAAGATTGTTCAACATCATGGTTTAGGGGAGGATACAAAAAACTGTCTCAGAGATTTCAGCTGTCAGTTTCCACTGTGAGGAACATATTGAGGAAATGGAAGACCACAGCACAGTTCTAGTTAAGGCCCAAAGTGGCAGCTCAAGAAAAATCTTAGATATCAGAGGCGAAGGATGGTGAGAACAGCTACAAAGACCTAGAACATCAACTTGTTGCAGATGGTGTCACTGTGCATCGTTCAACTATTCAGCGCACTTGGCACAAGGAGATGCTGTATGGGAGAGTGATGCAGAAGAAGCTTTTCTACGCACATGCCACAAACAGAGTCGTTTGAGGTTTGCTAAAGCACATTTGGACAAGCCAGCTTCATTCTGGAATAAGGTGCTGTGGACTGATGAAACTACAATTGAGTTATTTGGGCATAACAAGGGGCGTTATGTATGGCGGAAACAGAACACAGCATCCCAAAAGAAACACAGTAAAATGTGGTGGTGGTTCCATCATGCTGAGGGCTGTGTGGCCAGTGCAGGGACTGGGAACCTTGTTAAAATGAGGGTCGCATGGATTCCAGTCAGTATCAGCAGATTCTTGACAACAATGTTCAAGAATCAGTGACATGGTTGATTTTGCACTGAGGCTGGATATTTCAACAAGACAACGACCCGAAACACTGCTCAAAATCCACTAAAGCATTCATGCAGAGGAACAAGTACAACGTCCTAGAATGGCCATCTCAGTCCAGACCTGAATATTATTGAAAATATATCGAACCTGACAGAACTGGAGATGTTTTGTAAAGACGAAAGGTCCAAAATACCTTCAACCACAATCCACACTCTCACTGGAAGCTATAGGAAGCGTTTAGAGGCTGTTATTTCTGCAAAAGGAGGACCTACTAAATATTGATGTCATTTTTCTGTTGGGGTGACCAAATTTATGCACCTGCCTGATTTTGTTTAAACAATTATTGCACACTTTCTGTAAATCCAATAAACTTCATTTCATTTCTCAAATATCATTGTGTTCATCTGCTATATGATATATTTACATGGAATTGCTGATCCAAACAGCCAATGCTTTATGAAGAAAAATCATGAAAATGAATTAATTAAAAGTTAATTAATTAGCTTTTGCATACCACTGTATATTGAGTTACTACGCATGAATCCTTACCAGGTATGACTAAATCCTGGCGGCAGTCATACAGCATCCCAAGGCTGAAGGGCCGGCCGAGCGTCGCGACCTCCATCGTTCTGCTAGCTTCAGCATCCATCTCTGTATCTGAGCAGATAATACAAAGTACTGCTTCAACTTCTTTACTCAAGTACAGGCTCTGAAATGTACTCAAAGTAAGAAAGTAAAAGTAGCTCCTTAAAGAACATTTCTACCACCTGTTTTTATACAAAGCCAACTGAAGCATGTGCTATATTATTGTCATAATAAAATAATATTAGTAGATAGCAATACAAACTTTATTTCAGTCTACATTTTATTTCTAAAAAATGCACTCAGCTTGAATCGGTTAAGTAGAACATGAGCAGAGAAAAAGAAGGAAAATAAAACACATCTCTATTTTCTGTTGCCTCCATTGTAGAGGGTCACTTTGCCTCTAAACAGGAATTTGAGTAGCCTAAAATCAGCAGTAGTGGCTCAGCGTGGGGAAAAGAATCATAACTCACAATAATTTCTATTGAGAGCTCCAGTAGATTTCCTTAGTGTGCAGGCTGTGATCAGCTGACCTGCTGCTGTTTGTGGATGTACACAGCTGAATTCAACCAGATGTCAGCAGATGTTTCACGAGTTATTTTGGCTGATTTCCGTCCTCTACACTGACAGTACGCTGTTTATGCTGTTTATGCTGTTTATGTTAAACACTCTAAAGTTGAAGGTGGAATTCAGCCAATGGATCTCAGCATCATCAGCTAAAAATCATATGAATCTCTGCTACAGTTGATGTAACCGGACTCTGACCATGAAACCACAGCCACTGTGCACCAGTCACACATTGTAGCAACCTAACCTGTTTATCCTGCACTAACCTGCAGAGGATTTTCATGTAACCTTTAAATAACACAGTTAGTCTGCCCCAGTTTGTTATATGAAATATATATATGTAATATGAAACAACATAATGTAACTTGTACAGACCCAACATCTGATTTAAACACATAAGGACTTGTAAGCTTTACATGTCCAGTTTATCAAACACCACTGAGCAGTCTTATCTTTAAATCTAAGCTCTCTTCTTCCTCGCCTGTCATGTCTTTCTTATTTTTCTCCATCTCTGACTGAAGTGAGCTCTTTCTTTTCTCTCCCTGTGAAATACAGCAGCTTGACCTTGAGCTGGCAACACACTGTGACACAAACGGCACACAAACAGTTTGTGTGTTTGCTGTTGTTTGTTGAACTGATAGAAACGCTGCACTTCAAATTACCTGCCACAGCGACAAGACGTCACTGCCTTTCGTCTTCAGTAGGGGTAGCTGTGCAGAAGTAACTTAAGCTTGCAGTAGTTCTTGTGTTGTGCCAAAAAGATAAATTAAACAAAAACACCAGCCCACTTTAACACCCCCCACTAACAACCCAATATGGCACACGACATGGGGTCTTTCATTTCTTTTTATGCAACATCTGGTGATTAATACACATTCACAGGAACACATTCATGTGTTACTGTTTAGGCTTAAATCGTCTGATCTTTGAAGGCTTGGAATAAATCCGTCAAACCAAAATTAATGGGCCTGTTTTGAAAAAGTTAGGAGTAAATAGGGAGTAAAAGTAAAAATAACAAAAAATCTACTTAAGTATAGTAACAAAGTAACAAAAAAAAAGGTTAATATATGCTATTTTTGAGACAGTATGCAAAATACCAGGGCCATCCAAATGAAACGTTTGAGCGTTTCAGAGGTGAAGCATTGAGTCTGCATGTGGTCTTTTAGGGATTTTATTTTATTTTTTAAATGACCAGATTCTCTACGCTGTGTTCGACTTCCTATTCTCATCATTTGATATTGATAAGTATTGTGATTCTGATTGATTTGGTTACTGTAAATAAAAGAGACCCAGTGCTGGGCTAGAATAATGTTGCCTCTGCTGTAAAATATGTTTATAGTTATTTATATAACTTACATAAGGTTTATTTTCTGATAAACCTCAGTCCGTAAACTCAAACACATCATATTGTAAAGGTTACATTAAACATCGGTAACTCTTAGTTATGTTCATGTATTTTCTGACATATTTGATCAAAGAAGAGAAGCAAAGAGATCAAAGAGAAGCAATTTGCATAGGAATTGCAGTTCTTGTCAGTCAGGTCAGAAATATTAAAAATCATTTTCATAATTACTAATATAGGGTAAACTTTTTACTTTTTCCATTGTCCCAGAAAAAGCTAGTGAGTGAAAATACGACATATTTTATGCTTCCTTAAGTCTAAACTACAAAAACATCCATAATATCCAAAAGTAGTTTATTTTTTCTACAGCTGACACCAGAATATCAGTCATCAAATATAATAAACAGTAATTTGCATTTTAGTTAGATTTGTACATTTTTATAAGCTTTACTCTTAACCAGAAATGTTCAACCAATTGTCTGAATGTCAGACTGTTCCCCGCTGATCCTCCTACACATTTCTCTTGACTGGCTGATTTCTTCAAACGACACCATTTCATGACATACGTCAGTCTTTAGTCTTTAGAGTGAAGATCAGAATGACTCACGCTGATCCAAGCACAAGGAGCTATTAGTGGTGAACACAAAAATAAACCAATATCTTAAGATTTGAAATGCTCACCTACTTCAAAGTTCCAATGATCAGAGATGATACTAATGTGCATGTGCAGGACCAAAATGAGAGTTCAGGTTTGTTGCACATGTGAGTTAGATGACCCTCTGTTCCAACTGTGCTCAGTTCATCCTACGTATAATTATTTGTGACAGAGTAAAAGTGGCAGAACTCACAGCACAGCGAGTGTACGTGATGAACACACTACAGTCATGGTGTGGTTCAGTCTAAGTCTAATGAATAAATAATTAACTTGGCATAAAGAAGATGGAGAATCTTTTGAATACTGCACCGTACATAACGTCTGTATAACAAACAAAAACAGATTTAAAAGCAAGTTGTGCTTTAAAATGTAAAATGTAAAATAAATGAATAACTTAAGATACACTTTAGCTTTAAAAAACTAATTTTGATATAAAGCTCTCGTGCACATTTCTTTTTTAGATTTAGTCCTTACCTTCATCAAAACCAATGGAAACGTTCAGCAAACACTAAAACGATGCAGATTTAAGTAAGAACCAAAACACCAGGTTACACACAGCATTCACCTTTGCCCTGTGACCTTTGTGAAATGACTTAAATGATGACAGAATTTAGCAAAGATCCACAGCAGTGTGTACAGGAGAACATTAAAAAGACGGAGAGAGCATCAGCGTACTTACAGCAGGAATGTTTGAGTGTCCTAGGGAAGGCTGCAGTTTCACACACTATATCCTCTTTCATAGGGACCGCCCCCAGATCTTTAATCAGGTGGCAGCACAGAAAAATCACATGACATGCTGACTGTACAAAGAGAAAAGCAATAATATATTTAAACTTTATGAGCATTATCTGCAAACTGAAGATGCTCAGACAAAACTAAAAGGTGAACTTTCTGGAAAACAACATGGTTTGGGGAGTGGATTCTCCAACTAACAAACAAAGGTTTACATTATTGAACATTCATGCTGATCAGTTATTTGTCCACAGGTTCAATGTGCCATATGACAACTGCAAAAACAAGATTTTTTTTTACGATTGTTATAAACATGACGGCGGAAAATGAAACAGTTTCTTTCATTTTCTGTCAAAGCCGACAGTCTTCTAACGAGGGTTTTGTGGTTTTTACTCTTAAGTTCTGTTGTTGGTAAATATCTTCGTTTTGTTTCTTAGTTTGCTTGTGGTTTATTTTTTTCACTTTTCCATCTTTCTGCTTCGTTTGTTCTTGAAAATGTAAACTTTTTGTAATTACAGTTCGTTTCCTGAGTTTGTTTTCCTGTCCTCTTGTTATCTGTGTCGAGTCCACTTTTCTGTTCCTGTATTTTGTGACTTCCTGCTTCATCTTATTAGTATTTTGTCTCTTTGCTTTCTATTCAGACTGACATCCCTTGCCT